CATACCGGTATCTGGGCATGTCACAAAACATCGGTGTGAAGGAGACGGATATGAAACAGTCAGTCCGCGAGGAATTTTTTGCGCGCCTTACAAGAGTACTGAAAAGTTCTTTGTCGGGCGCCAATAAAATCCGAGCTTATAACGGCTGGGTCATACCCGTACTCCTTTACACTTTTGGCGTGCTCAGATGGTCTCAAACCGAACTCGAAGCCCTGGATCGGAAAGTCCGCACAACTATGACCCTCCATAGAATGCATCACCCGAAATCGTGAGTCATGAGGCTGTATATCCCGCGGAAAGCTGGTGGTCGAGGCTTGTTAAGCGTTAAGACCATGCACAACCGCGAGATTGACAGCCTCAGGACATATTTTCTGGAGAAAAGAGACGAGGGTTTGCATAGAGAGGTCATAGAATGTGACAAAGGATTCACCCCTCTTTCTCTGGCTAAAGAGGACTGGCGAAAACCCGAAGTTTTGAGTACCTCTCAGCGGGAGGCCGTATGGAAAGAGAAGGAGTTGCACGGAAGGTTCTTCAAAGCCCTTCACGGGCCGTACGTAAACACGAAGACCTCCGTGCACTGGCTACAGTTCGGTGATCTCTTCGGAGAGACCGAGGGTTTTGTCTGTGCAATACAGGATCAGGTGGTTAAGACGAACAATTACCGAAAGCACATTCTGAAGGATGGCACTGAGGACATCTGTCGAGCATGTCGCCATCCTGGAGAGTCACTCAGACATGTGCTTTCGGGTTGTTCAGCTCTTGCCAACACAGAGTACTTGCACAGGCACAACCAGGTAGCCAAAATACTCCATCAAGAGCTAGCTCTGAAGTACGGCCTCGCGAATGAGAGGTTGCCGTACTATAAGTACGAGCCACAGCCGGTCCTCGAAAGCGACAGCGTCAGGCTCTACTGGGACCGATCCATCATCACGGACAGGACTGTTCTTGCGAACAAACCTGATATCGTGGTGATGGACCGGGCACTTTCGAGGGTGTTTTTGGTGGATGTCACCATACCGCATGACGAGAACCTCGTGAAAGCCGAAACCGAGAAGAAGAGAAAATATCTCGACCTGGCTCACGAGGTGACCGAAATGTGGGGGTGACATCTACCGAAATCATCCCAATCGTTATGTCGGTGAACGGTCTTATCCCAACCAGTCTGGAACAACATCTCAGACGGTTGGGATTCCGGGGCGGCTCACTCCCGGGAAAGATGCAGAAAGCGGTGCTCTTAGATTCTGCCCGCATTGTACGCCGGTTTCTCTCCCTGGGGCCCTGAACCCCGGCCGACTGTGCTTCTGCCGGGGGTTAGTTGCCATCTCCTCTCCTTAAGAGGGGAGATGAGAATTTTGGTAAAATTTAAAAATAATAATAATAATTTTTATTTCAGATAATAATAATTTTTTATTTCAGTAATATAATGCAAAAAAAAAAAATAATAACGAAAAAACATTAATTTATTTTATTTATTTTTTATTGTATTCTTTAATGGTGGTCCAATTATGGACCCCATTGAGTACAGAAAGTAGGAGAAAGAAGTTTCTTTAGATAAGATAATGTCTAATAATGTCTTTAGTTGCTGAAATCATTGCACATTCGAAATCTTTGAAAATATTGTAAAATAATGCGTAGCAAATTTATTAATTTATTTATTTTTAACATAAAGACCAAAATAAGAAAACTAGTATACCATAGACCACAAAAGGTTTGATCGTTTTTAAATTTAAAGTTTTATTTTTGATTTTGGGTGTCTTAGTTTATTATTTACTAGCATACCGTCCCGACGTCGCACGGGTGGACATTTTTAACATTTCCCTTCACTGCTCTACTCCTATTGATCGTAGCGTGATGAAAAGTATACTATAACCTGCCCGGGAATATGAAGAATAGTACCAAGTTTCTTTAAAATCCGTCTAGTAGTTTTTGTTTCTATAACAAACATACAGACAGACAGACAAAAATTTTCTTGATTACATTCTTGTCATCAGTATCGATCACTAATAACGCCCTGATAGTAATTTTGGGAAATATATTCCATGTACAGAATTGACCTCTCTACAGATTTATTATAAGTATAGGTGAAGTTGACATTGTTGATTGTAAAACATATTTACTATTGTTATTCAATACTTGTCATATTTAATTTAATTTAATACTTTTTTGTATGATTACACTTAATTTCATACACAGTGTACATTATTTTTTCTTTATTTAAGAGAGTTTATTCTTATTTGAATGACACAATGTACATTGTTTTTTTGAATAAATGACTACTGACTATTCATTTATTTATTTATTTTAAACTTCAATGCACAGTAAAATTACAGTACAGAATTGACCTCTCTACAGATTTATTATAAGTATAGATTTTTCTTTACTTCTGGTATTGATTTTTATTTTTTTTTTTCGCCATATATAATACATAAAGAGAATGTCCAACTGGTAACATTTCCCAACTGTGTTTTACCAAAGAGTCCCTATTTCGTAGTGCCGACGGCAAAAACTATTTACGTAATACAACTTTCGTCAAATTGTCTTGTTTGTGAATGCTTACAAAAAGAACACTGTGTCACTCGAGTGATGGTTTCCTCGTGATACTTGTTTTCTGGTGGAATTTTCAACAAAACAAACTCACAACTTAGATAACAAACCTTTGACGTCGTTAACTGTCCATTGCTAAATATAGCCTCTTCCATAAGTGGTGGTTTTGCCAGTAGTTGCCACGCTTGGCAGGAGGGTTGGCAACCGCAGTTTGCCTTTTAGTGATGTTTTAAGAGGGACGCTGCTGCTCATCCCTCGCCCTCCCTTAGTCGCCTCTTACGACACCCACGAATAAAGAAGGGATGGTTTATTCTATGCCTGGACCACACGGCTAATTATATTAGCAATGATTATTAGAATACAATAGAATACAAATAATCATTATTCAAATAGACTTTATAAGCTCTTTAATTTCTCATTTCTTTCATGAAATATATACATACATACACATATACATACATATACATATACATACATACACATATACATACATATACATACATATACATATACACACATACATACATACACATACATAATTACTATATTACTTCAAATTTGAGCTCATTTCTAACAAATGTGCACGCATATAGTTGTACCAAGGAATAGTATCGAAAAAATACGAATGTATGTATGAAAATCTTTGTCTATATGTCTGAGCATTTATCCATAATATTGTAGCTATCATTTCGATGGGCTGATTACTTAGGATTTTTATTTGTAAGCAGTATTGATCGGATTTAACGCCAACTTTACGTTTAATATTTTTATGACTTCATGCTATTTTTGGAGTTTCTAACCACATAATATATTGTACTTTAAAAAGTTTTATTTCACAAAATTGATATAAATTTGTATGTCACTTAAATATAGTGCCACCGGTCGAGTTGTTTATAATAATTTCGTAATCTTAATTTCTCTTCATCGACAGATAAAACTGTTCTTTAATATATTTCTTGTAATTTTTATTCCTGTCAAGCATTCCGTTATAATTTTTTTACAGAAAACAATAATGAGTATCAGTCTTTTTTATTTTTATTTTAAAAGATCTACAGTCCAGTTTGCTTTCATTAAAAAATTTACTATATAAAAAGTGACTTAATATATTTTTTTAAATACAATATTTCTGAATGATGAATGATTCATTTATTGTTGTTTTATTTATATTTGTTCACCAAATCACCATCGGAAACTAAGATTAGAGGTACGTGGTTAAATATAACAATTTGAACATTTCGTTCAGACTCAAATAGTAATATCATTTCTAAATCTATAGTATCCAGGTTTGGGTGAAAATCAAATAAAGAGTCAAAGGAGAAACATTGTGTTAATTCACATATATTCGAAAGATACTATATTTCACTGTTTTAACTTTATACCTTTTATTATATGGATGATTTTACCAAAAAGATAAATCTGCTTCATTCTTGATACATTTAAATAAGCATCCACGAGAGTGAATCCTTTCGAATTAAACACAGTTCACTCCGAAGATACCACAACCAAAGAAAAAAAAATTAAATCGAATTAAGAATCACTTCCTTTTTGACACCAGTTAACCAATAAACACTTTCTCGTTGATATAACACTTGGAAACCACTGCGAAAGTCGATCGTATTGAATCGAATAAATTATTGTGGTAGGTGTAATTATTAAGAAATACATTGCAATGGCTCGCGACGAACGACGAGTTTTTAGATTTTGTCAGTAAATACGAGTACACAAAAAGTTTTATATTAAACTTTAACAGTTTCTCGTTCAATTTATAAACCTTCATTTTTCTAATTTTTCATTTGTTACGGTTGACATTAATTACATTTTTAATAGCGCAGTTATTAAATATTAACTGCGTGTCCAATTGGATTTCTCGTCGACAACTTTCATGAAATTTTTTTCTTACGCTTAGAAATTTTCCAAATATCTTTCTAACTCTTAATTAAAATAGGAACTGCAATGCAGAATTTTATTTTTCACTACTCTCTATCACAAATTGTCCTTTATTGATCAATATTATGAAATTTATTAGGTAAAATATATAATGAAGAATAATTACAAAATAATGGATGAATCACTTTCAAATTAATTTCAAGTATCGCACTCATAGTGGAATTACTACAATATTGTAAGCATTTAAACAAATACTGAATTCTTTGTTTTACTACTTATCTATTTAGACAGACAGTTAAATCTATATTAAAGGTAATTCACACACATTGACTGCTTAAATTTTAATTCGATCTATGTAAATTAACGAACGCCGGAAATTTTAATTTGACGGTGATGTAATTATTAACATAACAACTCTTTTTCGATGAAAATGTAACAGCCTATATCATAGTTTACAGTATCATTCCTATAGTTTGTATTAAGCGTAATTTTACACAGAATTATAACAGCGAATCCAAATATTTCCCCAAATGGGCGAGCTACTGAAAAAAAATGTGAAACCAACATACCTCGGAACGGTAAAACGGAGTACCAGCCAAATCACGTAACTCCACGTTGTTGCCAATAGAAAAAACAAACTAGAACTTTCTATTCGGCTAATGTACACTGGAATTTTCGTTCCACTAGCACTAGTAACACTGACCACTGTATTTTTATAGTTTTTTTTTTTTTCTTTTCTTTCAACGCGCAGCGCTCAAACACGTCTGGCGGGCGCGGCGTCGTGGATTCAAATGCGTTTGACTGGAACACGGCCGTCTCACGCGCAGCGACTCGAAACCTAAACACATACATACACTCACATAAACGGCGTCCTTATATAAAAGCAGTATATAATTTGGACTAGAGGGACGGAAAAGCACGATTACAGTTAAATTTCGTGATTCTGATGACATCTCCCATTTTAATTAAGGGTTTTTGGATTTGATTGTTTTATACGTAGGCACTTATTTAAACTAATAACTGATTCTCTCAACTTATACCTTGATATTTAATAGTTTTTTGTATCAACCCATTTTTTATACCACCAAAGTGGCAAATAAGCCTACGGCTCACCTTTTTTTTTATACAGCTTAGAATGGCAAACAAGCTGACGGCCCGCCTGATGGAAAGTGGTAAACGTCGCCTATAGACATGAGCAGTACCATGGACATAATAGAGTATACTGTTTCGCCCATGATACCCCCTATGCGTTGCCATGCCTGAGGACTCGGGTGTCATTCCTCGGTACACTGTAAATTCACCTAATGGTAAGTGGTTACCGTAGCCTATAAACACCTGCAATACCAGGGGCATTACGCGCGCGTTGTCGACCCTGAAGAAATCTCTTTACCCCTTTTTTTTTAAGAACCCCATGGTTTTGTCTCTTGGACAAACTTCTTGGTTAAATCGTATAAATTTTGATACCTTACTAATTTTATATTATAAATATGACAGAGATATCTCTTACATGGTCACAATTTTTTTTTAATTAATATAATTGTTATGGTAATTCTAGCTACGCCAGAGAAAAAGGCTTTGTCGGGAATGAAGTCTATCGATACCTATTGCTAACATTGATTATAGGTTTACTGCCTTACAAAACCTTAAGGAAACCTTGCTTGATAAACTTATTGGTCTAACTCCATCTTCTTTTTCAAAAAAAAAACGGATAAAGAGCTTTCTTCAGGGTCGGCAATGTGCGCGTAATGCCCCTGGTATTGCAGGCGTTCATAGGCTACGGTAACCGCTTACCATCAGGTGGGACGTATGCTTGTTTGCCACCTCAGTGGTATAATTATTATCCTCACCTCATTGTTACCCCGCTAGCTTAAACCAAAAATGGCGGGGTTACCATTAAAAAAAACTCATCAAATTTTACACAGTATTTAGTGAAAAAATAATTATATAATTGTATGCCTTCAATTAATTAACGATTAAGCAGTTAATTGGAAATCTAAAAATAATTAAAGTTAAAATAAGCACGGCTGTAGGAATGGTTCGTCACGGGGATACTTCAATTTCGAGGTCACGTTCTACCATAAAAACATACAATCTAATAATTATACCAACATCCACACTATTAATTTTGTAAGTACTTAGTTTTTAGAATTCCGTATCTCCAAAGGAAATCAGAACCCTTACAGGATCACTTCATTGTCTGTCCGTCCATCCGTCCGTCTGTCAAGACCCTTTTTCTTAGGAACGCGTGGAGGTATCAAGTTGAAATTAATATCATATACTCAGGTCTGCGATCTTTTAAAGCAGTGAAAAAATCAAGCTTCTAAATCGACACAATCAGAAGATATGGACGTTTATGTTCCATTTATATCGCATATTTGGACATTTCCAAAGGGAATCGAAACATATAGAGTTCCGTTGACCTAGAATCATGGAATTTGACAATGTCATGAGAACACACAAGAACTAATGTCATGTAGCACAAATAAAAAAAAAAAGGAAAAACATAAATATGTAGTTATTTCATAAAAAAAAAACCAGCATGATTATGTACGAAATCCTCGTTGCGCGAGTCCGGCTCGCACTTGATCGGCTTTTTTTTTTATTACAATGACAAACAAGCTGACGGACCCACCCGATGGAGAGTGGTATGGCATGGGTAATATCAATAACACTCCGGTATCTATATATTGGTTTGCTCCGTACACTGACGGTGGAAAAAACGGTCATAATTCAATATATCTGTCGGATATTTATACTAATTTTCATCGGGTGTTTCGTTTCGATATTATATATTGGATGAACGATATTGTATCTATTTATTATTGACCATAGATATTGTAACTACAATATATAAATATTGCTGTATATTTACCAGAGGGAGACTTTGTACAAACGTCGTTTGCTTGGGCACCTCTGTCCCATTCGTGTTTCAACCGTGAAGCAGTTGTGTTTGCATGGCTGTGTTTCGGTTTGAAGGGTGAGATATGGCGTGAATTTACTGGGTACAGAGGAAGAACACCTAAGTCCTCAGGAATGGCCACGCATGGAGGGTATCATGGGCGAAACAGTACACTCTGTTATGTCCATGGTACTGCTCGTGTGTATAGGCGACAGTTACCACTTTATATCAGGTGGGCCGTCAGCTTGTTTGCCATTCTATATTGTATATTTTTTATAATACAACTTAGAATGTTTATATACTTTTTCTTTTATATTAATACCTGCCTACTATGTGCTTTTTATTTTTATTTCTAATCTTAATAAATTTCTAATTCTAATAAATTTCTAATCCTAATAAATTTTTAATCCTAATAAATTTCTAATCCCAATAAATTTCTAATCCTAATAAATTTCTAATCCTAATAAATTTCTAATCCTAATAAATTTTTAATCCTAATAAATTTTTAATCCTAATAAATTTCTAATCCTAATGAATTTTTTATCCTAATAAATTTCTAATCATAATAAACTTTTAATCCTAATAAATTTCTAATTCTAATAAAATTTTAATTCTAATTTCTATAACATTAAAAGTAAGTCCAACCGTTCGCCGTCCACAACTTTCATAGGAAAGACATCAACTGCCACTTTCAATGAAAGTATGTACAGACAGGACAGTGCTACGTAGTTTGCGAGCGAACCGCTGCGCTGTGATCTAAATATAGGCTTTAACCAGTGAAAGACATACTATTTCGTTGTTATTAATTTAAAATCACTTAAGTTGATGTTTCTTGTTATATTGTATTAATAAATAAATCGTTTATTTGCACAAATATAGGTACAGTTGTTTTGATATTTAACATTACGTAGAGTACTAGACGTATATACGTTTTACTATCATGGCATAAATTAGAGATGGTAATATACAGAAATATTTTAGTTACAATATCTATTTTTTTTTAATGGATGATAATGGAATGGTAACTCCCGTCTGCGCTATCGGTGTACACCGGCGAGACACCAGTGTGGGATGATAGATTTATTTATTTATTTATTTGAATGATAAAGAAAGAGCAGGTCAGTTAGCCCATCGTGATGAATACACCTGGAATTCAGTATGATGGTTTCCAGGGGGGACCGCGTGGAGGTCGACCTGATGAGGTATATTGCCAGCAATAGGACTGGTAGTCCGCATAGCTGACCCGTTTTTCTTGAATCTAAGAAGATAGAGTGTCTCCATCAAGTCAGCATTTCTATGGAGGCACTCTATCTATATAATCTAAGATTCTAACTTAACATATAGGTAGGATATGTTCGAAAATAAGGCGAAACCGCGGGCTAAAGTAGTCTCTTTAGTCTGTCATATTCTATATAACTCCCGAACCATTCACAAAGCAATCACGGCCGCCCAATTAATTTCAATTCACAGAAAAACCCAAACTGTAAAAATAGTTTTATTACAAAAGCGAATGGTTACTGAGCTCAATATTGCACCATTAGAAGTAATTATAATTTAAAAAAGGAATGAACAAAAAGATGCCACGGAGACAGGTGGATGTATAGTCGTCCCGCTCTAACGTACGGGACACTGTGTATGCGGGTCTCGCTCTACCGGAAGACGCCGATGGATAAACTGTAACGGCTGATTGTCGTAACTGACTTTTATAATGTGAAGGCACTCAAAGTTTAACATATTCAATTTATTAAAAAAAAAAGTAAATGTCAAAGTGGTTACCGGTTTATAATTTCTAAATTAGTACTTAGATTTTTATCTTCTTTAAAGGATGGTGGTTTTTTAATAGGTTTATTTTTGATGGGTGAAAATGGTATGGTAACCCCGCCTGCGCGGGGGGAAAGGGATTGTTAGTGATGGAGACAGAGAATCCCATTGCTAGCAATATACCCAACCAGGTCCACCTCCTCGCGGTTCTCCCTGGAAACTATCATGGTTAATTCCTGACGAATTCATCATGATGGGCTAACTGGCCTGTTTTCATTCTCATCTATCACCCTTCACTGGTGCTCCGCCAGCGTATCCCGTTAGCGCAGGCGAGGTTACCATATCATTTTCACCCATCAAAAAAAAAATAATGTAGTACAAAAGGCGGTCCTATTGCTAAGCAATCTCTTCCAGACAACCTTTTGTTTTACTAATATCCTTTATTCATTTATTTCGGAGATGTTTTAAGAGGAAGGCTGCTGCCAATCCCTCGCCCTCCCTCAGCCGTCTGGTCCAGGTCGAGTTACCATTCCATTTTCACCCATCAAAAAAAAAACCCCCGCCTGCGCTAACGGGATACGCTGGCGGAGCACCAGTTAAGGGTGATAGATGAGAATGAAATTAGGCCAGTTAGCCTATCATGATGAATTCATCAGGAATTAACCATGATAGGTTCCAGGGGGAACCGCGAGGAGGTCGACCTGGTTGGATATATTGCTAGCAATGGGATTCTGTCTCCATCAGTAACAATCAATTTCCCCCTTTTTTAATGAGTGATAATGGAATAGCAACCCCTCCTGGGTTATCAGTATACGTTGGCGGTACACCAGTGAAAGATAGGTGAAAATGAAAGCAGGTTAGTTAGTCGATCGCGAAAAATTCCACAAGAATTAACCATGATTGTTTTAGTAACGCTTAGCAAGCGGATTGGTAACCGCAGTTTGGTGATGTTTTAAGAGAGACGCTGCTGTCCATCCCTCCACCATAAATTCCCTTAGGCTCTTACGAGAGCCATGGAAAAGGAAAAGATGGCCCACTCTATACCGGGACTACGCGGTGATTATTACTATAATTGGTTACTAAATATACCTTCGGAAGTCAATCGATGGCGTGTTGAGATTTTGCTATAATCTTATTTACTTGGTTTCTAAATTATTGGTTTG